ATCATACAAGAGTAATGGTCAGTATGCTATAATTATGATACATAGCAAAGAAATGCTCGCTGTAGTTGTTCAGACATATTTTCGTCTAAATAATAAATACTGCCGATGGCCAAGTGAAAGGCGCCAAGCTAACGATTGACAATTGGGAGGCAATATATAATATACATTGAGCAAACACAACCTCGAAACAAACGTCCACTAAATGTGGCAAAAAGCGTTGCTGTCGCTGGCGTTCGACAAATTCAGGCCTATTGTTTTTCACGAACTTGCGACACAAGTGTTGCCAGTAGGGTTAAGTGTGCTTTTAGCTAACAGTACCTTATTAACATGGTTGTTGGCTCGTTTGCCTGCGAAGCAAGTGGGACAAATAAAAGCAATCCACAATTACATATGTTGCTTGGAGCTAACTCCGTCTGTTCGGTCCAAATCCATTGTCGCAAGCTGCTGCTTTGCGTTCTGGATGCAGCAAAAGCAATTTTTCTTCAAGAGCCTGCAAATGCAGTCATCACAAACGGAGATTCCGAGAATGCAACAAACGCCGCATGAGCCAATTTCAACTGCGGTACCGGGGGGAAAAAGCCAAATAGTTGAATATGCACCAAAGCATTACTTGAATTGTCCCCAGAAGGTCGCCGAGCACTGAAGAAACGTTACTAGCCAACGGAGGTGGCAAAGCGTTCACAAGTGGTCCAATGCTCTTTGGATTTGCATTAGTGGGCGATTTCTTTTCGACAGCATCCTGCGAGCACTTCTCATACTCTGAAAATCGTTAAAGCGAAACTGCCTCCACAACTGCTCGTCAAAAAAAGCTCCCTCAAAAGAGGTTTTTCTTGAACATTTAGTTATCCAGATAATAACCGCTGCTCGCATACCAGAGGCCAGTTTTGTCAAACGTAAACAACTGATTCAGAAAAAAAAAAAAATCATATGTCCAAACGCTTTGCACCTTTCAATAGAATATTCTGGAAAACATAGAGTTGTGGTAAGTTTGACTTACTTTCGGGAGATGTGAAACCATTTCTAACTAATTTCACAGATTGCGATACTGCATCGGTTGATCGCCGTCCTGTAACAGCAGCTACTGGTCATCAAAACAGCGAAAACAGCACAAATCAACATTTTTTAACAGAGAAGCATAAAACAAACCTTGGGAAACAGGACTGGGAATGTGGTTATTTGATGTGGATGCGGAAGAAATTGCTGATGCTGCGCCAGGCTGTCTGGAAGCCAGCTGCCCAACATGCTTCAGATCACGCATCTCCTCTTCCAGTCTGCGGCAACGATCCTTCAAATACACAAACACATGCTGTGCGCCCCACCGAAGCGTACGAAAAGATAAAAAGTTAGAAACAGGCACACCCATTGAAAGAGAGAGAGCAACAGGCTCTGTCACTGCAAAATTTGAAAGTCAAAAGCTCACTTGTAGTTCTTCCTTGATGTCAAGCTCGGTGCTAAGTAAAGCTCGCATTTCCAGCTCCTCATTCAGCCTTTTTTTAGTGTCCCTGAGTGTTTCGCACGTTATTCTAGAAA